TTCCTTCTTTTATGTTGAGTTATATTATAATTTCTATTAAACTTATTATTAGAAAAATATTTTACGCGCCTTTCAAAAAATACAAAGACAAAATATTTCATAATTTAGTTTAAGAAAAAAAAACAATTTTCTTTTATAATAATTTAGAACCAAAAGTATATTTAATTTTAAAAATATTACTAAAAATAGTCTATACATATTAAAGGATTATCTAAACAATTTACGCAATGAATAACTTCTATAAATGTGGATTACGCTCTATTTATTTGTGATTGAAATGTTTTTCTCGGCCATGTCCAATTGATATTTGTGGAAGTGTTAGCTTGGCAAAAAGATTATTGTTTTTAAATATTCACTTCAACCAGCCTCAACTTCAAAAGAAAAGAGATAAACATCATTTTATTTTACCAAATTTGTAACACCTTGCACATTAACATCTAAATAAGAAATTTATAAAAAAATATTTTAAAAAGTATAATTTATCCATGGTTATAGTTCAAAATTCTAAAATTTATTTGATTTAAGGATTAAAGTGATAGATGTAGTTATGTTTTAGAAGCTTATTTCGTACTCTAGATACTTATTTTGAATACTTAACTGTTTTTAATAATAAGCACATTTCATTTTGTCCTATAAAAAAATTATATTTCATTTCTCTAGAATTAAAAATTAATAATTTTAATACCTATAAGATGAGTAATTTTTTCAGTTTTTGGTCTCATAATGCTTTTGTGGGTTTTAATTCTCCAACTTTTGAAATTACAGTTCAGGTATAAAAAGTTAAATTGAAGTATATAAATTGATTTCTCAAATATAAAATATAATATTTAAATATTAGATGTGGATATATTATATATCACAAACATTAGTGGGTCAATTAACCTTATATAAAGCACACAAGTCAGTGACAACTATCTTAATTTTTCTGAATTCAAAGAACGAATGTGATTGTATTTCGTATATGAAGCGTCATTATCATCCCTGCAATTGGAAGGTTTGGAAAACTGCAGATGTTGGGGTCTCAACAAGCCTTGACCCCTGCCAAAGCCTTAGCTTTTCAGTGGCATCTCTCAATCTGATTCTTCACTATTAGCATTCTGCTTGAAGAAAAATGAGAGGCCAAACTTGGTTATAATTTTGGAGCATTGCAGATTAGCTTAGAAAATGTCAGTCAACATGTTTGGTAGGTCAGAATAAACCAGTTCGTCTTCTTGCATCTCTAGGCACATCTTTTCCTGTTGATGGCAATGGGTTTACGGAGTGCATTCCTCAAACTGTCATGATTTTCTTCACAATGAATTTTAATGCATGTATTTTCCTTGAAAAAAATGTGTGCAAATGATTAGCAAGATGAGAGGACAATAATATCAATATTACTGTCCATCTGGAAAAAAAAAATGGCATTTCTAATAAGAAACAAAATCTTCACATATTTTATAGTCCATTAACCTATTATCTGCAGTAGATTTTGGGGGAATGAACGGGGGAGTCTACTAATAGATACAGTTAAGATATGAATACCAACAATGAGCTACGATTCTATGAAGCAAAAGCGCTTCAATTATAACACCAATTACGGACGATCACATTTAATCAGTTGTTAGCTTTAGTGACAAGAAGTCAACAGAAACTTATCCTTCAAGCGAGAGATGAGCTTGAACTTCTCCTCGGCCTCAACCTGTGCACGAACGTCAGTTTTTGATGCACGATCAGGATGAAACGTAAACAAGGCACGTTTATAGGCTGCTTGAACCTGAAATGTCCATCAACAGACAAACATTAGCATCAAAAACAGCAAAGGGCTTTCGGTAAATCAGAAGTCGGAACCACGATTATCTGACACATAATTATATATGTATGTGTGTGTGTTTTGTTTCGTTCTATCTAAAGGGTAAATGGTCAATTTAGTCATGAGTGTCCAGTGCTGTCAATTTAGTTCTTAATCAGATATAGTTTCCGGTTATGTAAATAATACAAATATTATATATAGCATGAATACATGAATTAGCATCGAATCAGTCCTTAAAACTACACTTAAAGACAATAATCCCGTGAAACTTAAGAGCATGATGTAATTGAAGGATATTAAACATTGAGAGATCAAATTGACTATTTATCCAGTACGAGAAAGTTGGACAGCAAGCACTGATTCACTCCTGTTTCTCAATTTGCATTTCAGGAAAGGCCCGTAATTTTTTCTTAAATGGATAATAATCCGGTCACAAAATCAGCCATACAGCGACCAGGATATCACCCATTACCATAGCATTTAAAGGTGTTGTTCCCTTTTATTTTCCCCGATTTGATGGGCTTTCAATTTTAAATTGAGTTGGTTAACCGTTATTCAAAATATGGAGTATCTATTATTATGGTCAATCTTATATATTGTTTACCTATCGATCGTTCAACTAACTGCTAGTGTAATCCTTCACGTGTACCCTCCTAGTTTTAGGCCAAGCAATGTCAATCATGATTTTCTTATATAGTCTTTTATGCGATGTTTGCCTCCTTGGCTACCGATCGAATGACTGTATACCGTCCCGATTTCAGAACAAACCATAACCAAGATCCTACTACTTTATTACCATATAATGTCAGATCCTTTGGGACTCTAACCCATGACCAAGTACACCAGTCATTATCTAAAAGAGTTGATAACTAAGATCAACAATAACAAGAGAACCCCCAATATTCAAATAACCGAAAACAACTCAAATTCACAAGCTACTTAGATATTGTTAGGGGTTGGAAGGTATATGAGAGAAAAAGGTATAAGGGAGAAGGAGAAGGCCGAACGGTGGAAAGCGAGGAGAGACCAAACCGAACGGTTGAAGGCAGGGAGAGGTCAGGCCGAACGGTGGAAACAGTGAAAGCTCGAGCGGACTGATGGGAAGCAGCGAAAACTCTGAGCCGACCGGTTGGAGAGTGACTATCCTAACTGGGACAGCAGATAGGATAAGCGGGAAATATTTAATAATAATTATAGTAAATAGAGCTATATCCTAGAGAAATATTCGGTACAAGTTAATTACAGTAATTAGAGCTATATCCTAGGAAAATATTTAGTACAAGTTAATTACAATAATTAGAGCTATATCCTAGGAAAATATTCAGTATAAGTTAATTATAGTAAATAGAANCCTAGGAAAATATTCAGTATAAGTTAATTATAGTAAATAGAACTATATTCTAGGAAAATATTTAATATAAATAAAGCCTAGACGCTAGGGTGGTGGGCATGCTTTTGATTATTGAGTTTTGTTGACAGGCAGCTAGAGTCCTGTGAGGGAGGTTATGCTCCCAGTTATCTTTGTTTACTTTTGTTTATTCAAATATTACCATCAATAGAAGAGATTCATTATCATTCGTTCATTGTTCTATTACGTGTTGTGAGTGTGTGAGAAGTTGTTCTGGTTAGGTTTCATACTTAGGTACATAACAATTGGTTTGACTTGCCAGATACTGATCGAGAGGAGTGAAGAACATCATGGAGGGAAGAATGATTGCAGTCGAAGGGAAACTGGAAAACGTGGAGATGTCCATGGGGGGATTGGAGGCGGAGACGGCGGCAATACGCAACGATTTACAAGAACTAATGAGGATGATGGGAGGACGAGACCGACAACTAGATGGCAACTCGGATGGAAGCCCGGGGTCTGTCAACGGGAAAAGGAGGGACCGGCGGGATGAAGAGGAAGGCGAGAAAGAGGGTGGTGCTCAGGAGCAACCAAATTAGAGAAAAAGGGTAGAGTTACCTGTTTTTGAAGGAATTGATCCATTGAATTGGATCAACAGAGCTGAGAAGTTCTTTGAATTACAAGGAGAGTCAGAGGAAGAGAAGGTGTGCCTAGCCTACATCAGTATGGAGGGAAGTGTCGGATACTAGTTCAGATTTTGGAGGGAGAAGGCCAGGAACCATTCGTGGGCTGGCTTAAAGGAGGCGTTGGTGATCAGGTTGAGAGGACGAAACAAAAGATCAATCTTCGAGAGATTGGCAGTCAGTAAGCAATCAGGATCCGTGGAAGAATACATCCAAGATTTTGAAATCTTGGTGGGTCAAACGAAAGGAGTGACCGAAGAAAAACTGATCGAATACTTTATGGCCGGATTACAAGAGCGGATTCGTAATCAAGTGCGACAGCTTAATCCCTGGGAATTGATGATCGTCGTGAGGATGGCAAGGGACTTGGAGGAGCTCCATAGGGGCGCGAAGACTAGAGGCAGAAGTATGATCAAGAATCAGTCTTTGGGGAAACTGAGCAGTGCAGTAACGCGGATGGAGTCCAGTCGGCCTAACCCGAGCCAAGTGGGAGTTGTGATGGAGAGTCGAGCCGGAGTTACGGAGAGTGTGGGGACAAGAAGAAGGGAAGGAACACAAGGGAGTAGGATAGGTCGATCGTCTTCCGACAAGAGGGGGAGGAACGTGAGGAATCTGCCCTATGCTGAATTTGTGAAATGAAGGGAAGAAGGGAGGTGCTTCAGGTGTGGGGGACCGTTCGGTCCAAGCCACCAATGTCCGGGAAGGAGCCTTTGGATGGTTATACTGGCAGAAGATGAGGAGGAAGAAGAAGAAGCTGAGACTGAACTCGACCAAATGCAGATGGAGCTGTCAGCCTTCTCGGCTGAAGGCCTTACCCAGCCAAGAACGATGAAATTACATGGACAAATAGGGAAGAAGCAGGTGTTGATCTTAATAGACAGTGGCGCTAGCCACAGCTTCATAAGCAAGGAATTGGTGAAAGAGCTGGGATTACCCATGGTAGACACTCCACCATATTTGGTGAGCTTGGGAGATGGGCAGAAAAAGAAGACGAGAGGGTGCTATGAGGAGGTAGTGATCTGCATAGGAGAAGCTGGCAATGGATCAGATTTTAGAACAATACTCAGGGGTATTCAGCGAGATCATAGGATTACCTCCCGACAGAGGCATGGTACACTGGATACCTCTCAAGGAGGGAGCGAACCCAGTAAATGTGAGACCATATAGATACCCCCATGTGATGAAAGGCGAAATCGAGAAGCAGGTGATGGAGATGCTTAAGACAGGGATCATCCGAGCCACTGTACCTGACAAGTTTCCTATCTTGGTGATGGAAGAATTATTGGATGAACTGAGGGGAGCTAGGTATTTCTCTAAAGTGGATTTGAAGGCAGTATACCACTAGATTCGGATAAGGGAAGGGGGTATTGAGAAAACGGCCTTTAGGACTCACCAAGGCCATTATGAGTTCATGGTGATGTCGTTAGGTCTTACTAACGCACCAACAACCTTCCAAAGTGCTATGAATAGTTTGATGCAACCCTACCTGCGAAAATTTGTGTTAGTATTCTTTGATGACATATTGGTGTCTAGCCGATCTTGGGAGGAGCATTTGAAGCATTTCGGGTTAGTGTTGAGGAAGCTGGAGGAGAACAGTTGGGTGGCTAACAGGAAGAAATGTGAGTTTGGCATGATCCAGATAAGATATCTTGGACATTTGATCTCAGAAAGGAGGGTAAAGATGGATCAAGATGAAGTGAGGGTTGTGATGGATTGGGAAAAGCCCAAGACGTTGAAGGCTTTAAGGGGGTTTTTGGGTCTGACGGGGTACTATAGGCGTTTCGTGAAGGATTATGGGAAGATTTCCAAGCCATTGACCGAATTGCTTAAGAAGGGGCAGTTTACATGGATAGAGCAAGCTGATGTAGCCATGACTAGATTGAAGGAGGTCGTTACTACTGCACCAGTATTAATTCTACCTGACTTTGACCAACCTTTCCATATTGAGTGTGATGCACCAGGAGGAGTAGGAGCGGTTCTCACACAAGGAAAAAGGCCCATTACTTTCTTCAGCAAGGCTTTATCGGAGGGATCGTTGAACAAATCGATATACGAGAAAGAACTAATGGCTTTGGTCATGGCCATACGACACTGGAGACCCTATCTATTGGGCCAAAGATTTGTAGTTCACACTGACCAAAGGAGCCTCCGATACCTATTGAAGCAACGCATTACCACCCAGAATCAACAAAATTGGATCGCAAAGCTCCTAGGGTATGATTTTGAAATAATGTATAAGTCAAGGGATATCAACAGGGTTGCAGATGCTCTATCTCGAAAAAAGGAGGAAAGTACAGAGGATGAGAAGGAATTGAGGGTCGTGGATGAAGCATTGAAGAAGGTGATGGAAGACTGCACTATAAGGGAAGACTCATGATCTCGACTCAATCAGCCTGGGTACCTAAACTAATAACTGAGTTTCACATGACTCAGACAGGGGGGCACTCAGGGGTATATCGAACGTACCACAAGATAGCTCAATCAATTTATTGGATAGGAATGAAGAAAGCAGTGACTAATTTCGTTGCAAGCTGCCTGGTGTGTCAACAACATAAGTACTTGTCATCTTCTCCACAGGGGTTGCTGCTACCTTTGCCCATACCCAACGCTATTTGGGAGGAAGTAAGCATGGATTTTATAGTGAAGTTGCCCAAATCCCAAGGGTATGATGTTGTATTGGTGGTGGTGGACCGTCTCAGTAAATATGGGCATTTCATCCCACTAAAACATCCTTATTCAGCTCGTACCATAGCTGAGGTATTTGTTAAGGAGATTGTCAGGTTGCATGCGGTACCAATGTCTATTGTTAGTGACAAAGATCCACTATTTTTAAGTATCTTCTGGAAGGAGCTGTTTAAAATGCAGGGCACCCAACTACAGATGAGCATTGCCTATCATCTTGAATCGGACGGGCAGACTGAGGTGTTGAACAGGGTGTTAGAGGGTTATCTGAGATGTTTTTGCTTAGAACAACCAAAGGGGTGGAGTTCAGTGCTACAATGGGCTGAGTATTGGTACAATACTAGCTACCAAGAAGTGGTGGGGTGTACTCTGTTTGAAAGATTGTATGGGAGATCTCCTCCTTCTCTGCACAGGTTTGTACCAGGGGAAACCTTAGTGGAAGTCGTCGATCAGGAGCTGCAGACAAGGGACGAAGCACTGAAATAGCTAAAGTTTCATTTAGCACGTGCTCAAGAACTGATGGTGCAACAGGCCAACAAAACAAGGACACCGGTAGATGTAGAGGTTGGAGATTGGGTGTACTTAAAGATTAGACCGCACAGGCAAACGTCTACGCCGACCAGACTACATCCTAAACTAGTCCCTCGGTATTTTGGGCCTTTCCAAGTCACACAGAAGGTCGAAGAGGTGGCTTTTAGGCTCCAATTGCCAGATATCGCACGGATACATCCAGTGTTCCATGTATCCCAGTTGAAGAAGGTAGTAGGGGAAAGAAGTGTGGAGAAGGAATTGCCAACAGACTTGCAAGGGGAGGGGCCGTCTTTTTGGCCTATCAGGCCCAACAAGGGGAGGACGAGGTGCAACAAGTGTTAATAGAATGGCAAGAGGGGGGACCAGATGGAGCAAAGTGGGAGGATGCAATAACTATCAAAGAGCAATATCCAGATTTCAACCTTGAGGACAAGGTTGATCATCAGGCGGTTGGTAATGTTAAGGGTTGGAAGGTATATGAGAGAAAAAGGTATAGGAGAGAAGGAGAAGGTCGAACGGTGGAAGGCGGGAGACCAAGCTGAACGGTGGAAAGCGGGGAGAGGCCAGACCGAAGCGGGGAGAGGTCAGGCCGAACGGTGGAAGACGGTGAGGAGTCGAGCCGAACGGCCAAAGGCTGGGATTGCAGTTAGGATAGGCGGGAAATATTTAGTAATAATTATAGTAAATAGAGTTATATCCAAGAGAAATAATCAATACAAGTTAATTATAGTAATTAGAGCTATATCCTAGGGAAATATTCCGTATAAGTTAATTATAGTTAATAGAACTATATTCTAAGGAAATATTTAATATAAATAAAGCCTAGACGCTAGGGTGGAGGGCATGCTTTTGATTATTGAGTTTTGTTGACAGGTAGCTAGAGTCATGTGAGGGAGGTTATGCTCCTAGTTATCTTTGTTTACTTTTGTTTATTCAAATATTACCATCAATAGAAGAGATTCACTCATCCATTATCATTCATTCATTGTTCTGTTACGTGTTGTGAGTGTGTGAGAAGTTGTTTTGATTAGGTTTCGTACTCAGGAACGTAACAGATATGAATAAAGACAAACACCCTTGAATGCTCATCTCCACGTCATCCTCTGGCTAGTTTTCCATGACCGAAACAGACAATAATGCCAAAAAAGATCGTGATAATGAAATTTGTCACTTTTAGTACAACTGTTTTAAGGACGGGGTTAGCTTAAAATTGAATGCATCAACAGCACTAATGAAGAAAAAAATAATATAACTTCCATAACGATAAGCACTTTTGTACAAATGTTGTCAGGGGAGTATTAACTAACCAGATTTCTTAATAGAAAATATCTAATAGCAACCATGATCTCAGAATTTAATTATGTGTTTAAGTGATTTCATTTGAACAATGCATAGTATAAATATACTAAACAATATAAAAAGTATATAGCATAGCATTCAAACAATACGACCGCTAAATTGGCAAGGGGGATTCAGAAGATATATATTAAATAACATAAGAGATATTTTAGATATATATCTATATATATTAGAAGAGTATATAATAACACAACGTGCCTCATTGGCAAAGGGGTAAAGCTTCCTCCACATGTATGCCTAGGCCACGAAAGCAATGAGGCATATCATGGCATCGCATCTCCAAATGATAGCCCGTGCCGTATTTCAACCCGCAGTGCCTTCAGGTTCCATAAATTCTTCATCCTGAGTTCGGCATTAAGTGCCACAGTCAGAAAAAAAATACGGGTAGTAAAAAAAATTCATGAGATTTAATGTATGTCCAGAGTGAGCATCAAAGGAGACAAGTCCAACTGGTCAGCATAATTAAAAGGTGAGGAATTTCTAGACTAGGTAAAGTGCAGAGATAATACCAGAAGAAATAGCGTCAGGGCAAACTAAAAGAATAATGCAACCGTCTTTGGGATGCCCACTTCGTCAATGCGTTCCTTTGCCTTCTATTGCATTCCGTTCGCGCTTCGCGGACTTTCTTCTCGTTTTCGTAACATCGGTGCTTCCGTCTCGGCCTGAAAAGAAAAGCACACAATCCAAATAAGGAACCACAGGACATCATAATCATACGTTGAGAAGATAGTAAAGAGATGAGAATGAATTTGAGAGAGAGTGTTCCCTCTGTGTAGGATTTCATATTATAAGCTGTTGGTACGATCAAGTACCCTTTAAGAATGAAATGCCTCAGGTAAAACACTGATGGCGTCTTCCAGAAAGCGCCACAGCTGGGAAGAATCGAGACAAACATAGACCCAAGACCAAGGAGAGACATGAATAAAGGCTCAAGAAAGAGAGATAGTCAGAAGGGAATGTAAGTGTCAAGAGGAGAAAGGGCATTCCCCCAGGGAGGGCCTAGTACATTAGCAAACCAAGAAAACATGGTAGAACAGTTCAACAAAGTACATATGTTTCGTGTTCGGCTATATCATTTCGTTGAGGATGTATGAGACAAGTTGGAATAAGTAAGGCCACTTTAACTTAAAATAGTAAAAAATCAGAGAAAAAGAGGATTGGAAGTATCACGCCAAGTGGGGAAACTTACCAAACAGAAGGCGGAGTTTCAGGAGCTCAAACACAAGATAGACAAGAATTCAATCAGCGGGCAGTAAAACCAAGTAAACAACGAGATGTGCATCCTTCCTAAATGTAACAAAAGAGCACATAAAAGGGGGTCCTCTGGAACCACAACGAAAGTGGGGAAAAGGAGGGGGGGGCGGGGGAAGGACTAAAAAGAGGTCTAGATGCGCCCTGATCCAAACTGGAGTGCCCTTATAGAGGCGGTAACCAAGTATTGCGCGTTGGGCAAGTGTTGGTTCAGCTAGCGTGAGAAAATACTACCTGGCCGTGGTGGCGCTTGGGGGAGAGAGGACGCAAAAAGAGGGTAGGGTGGGCCCCCAAATAAACCAAGAAAGGAAAGTTCAACACCAACAAAAACGTAAAATACAAAGAGATTTTGCGAACATGAACTTAGCTTTAAAGGGAAGGGCAGTGACACAACTCATTTGGCGCCCTCCCAACGTGTAAAGACCCCAAGAACCCAGTTTGAAGAGCCAGCAGACATCGAAGGCATAAATCAAAAGAGAAATGAGGGGACCATAGGAAAGCTTGTGTGGAGCTATTAGGCTGATTTTAAACATATAAGCACTTCTGACACTGAAAAAGTGTTTGTTTAAATGTACAGGTTAGCTTATTTATGAAGCGGATCAATGGCCGCACCAACCATTTTCCCCTCCTCACTAGATGGCCCTTTGGAGCTTATTTGTGAAGCTATACCTAAAGGGCAGCATAGAACACCAATGTCCCCCCCCGCCAACTATATATGCACTTTTCAAGCTTCTTGGGGACGCTCCCCAAAGGTATGCCAACCATTTGCCCTGTCCAAAAGGGAATCACAAGCACACGCATTTGAGAGACGAATCCTAAATTGAAAGAGCTTTTCCCCCCAGATATTGGCTCATCTATCAGAGCTGGAAAGACCTTCGTCTATGCAATAAGTACTTATAAAACTGGTACTAAATCAGCAGCTCTGAACTTTTACTAAGCCTCTTCCCACAACGAGTGCATAACATGTAAATAATAAAGGGGGATACCTGAATTTGGGAAGGGGAGCTGCCGGAGGCCCATTGCCGCGTCCATGCTTTGCTTATATTCAACAGTCTCCAGAGGCTGGTCGCTTGCATGAATTATTATCTCTCTCAGTGGAAGTAGGTGCCAGGAAGGCCACATGATGATCATTAAACGCAGCCCATCACAGGAACTGTCGGCTCAGTGAGAGGCCACTTAAGAATGCTATCAGAAAGAGCAGCCGGACTCTTCAAAGTCGGTCAGAGGGGAACCTCGAGGGTTAGGTGCCGCGGTGGGGCAAGTTCGATAAGCCCACCCTACCAACTGAATGCTGTAGTGAACCGAAACACCAGGAAACATCACTACGAATCGGGGGCCGCATGCGGGGGGCCCAGAGAAAAGCGGGTCGTCGTACGGTCTGCGGGCTCCACTTTCGCAGCTTCCGGGGGGCAAATGAGGGCAGGGCCGTCGCTGGAGAATGCAAACAAAAAGAGTTAAAAGAAAGGCCCCCAGTCAGAAGAAAGGAAGATTGATGCTTCTACAACAGTTTCCAACCGTTAGTGGACACAAAGGAGTTGCACCCCCAGCACCTCTCCGTCCCGATTCCCGATTTTTCTCATCCATCATCAGTGCAATACATAATTGTTAAATGTATCCAGAGAACGAGCCTGCTCGTCATAACAAGGTTGGTCTTACACCCAGTGCTTTTTTCTCTTACCCGATTTTTCCCACTGTTCCCGATCCATGATTCGCACTCAGATCACGCACATCTGATTGACTCACGTTCAGACCCCTCCAACCCGGTAGCGATGGCTGAAGAACCCGCTCCGGGGCCCCGGCTTTTCCCGATGGTTTGACCCCCATCAGATGCCAACTATCCTTTTTCATGGACAACCATGTGGCATCAACATCGAATGTCATCAGAACTTCGCACAGCACTTGAGTCTGGGAGAACCTTTGGTAATGAGCATCGCTATCCAATTCCCAACACCTCCAGCAACAACTCCAGGAAGTCCGCATCAATCACTTTTCCTCATCAGCGTCCATAACTCACTGCTTATACCACTCGTGCGTACATACCCGGTCTCTACTCGGGCACCGATCCATGCTACTTAGACAGGACCTCAGGGGTCTCCATGATCCCACCACCTCATCACCGGTGATCCTGTGCTACATCATAAACACATTTTTCTAAAGCCTCTCTCTTCCCAGACAAGTCTTGGGGGGCATGAAAGTTGCTCTCTTGAGACCCGGTTTCCCGTCTCTATCTATACTCGCAACCAGAATCACACCCACCCACAACACTAGGTTATTCTAAAAAGATCTCGAATATCCAATATCTCCGACACAAAAAAAAAGAAAGCAACGCAAATACTTCATTTAAT